TTGCGGATAAGTCTCGGTGTCTTTATGAAATTGTGAACTACTGTACGAGAAACAAGGTTGTGGAACTCGGAAATCAGTGGGCAAGGAGGAAGAGCTGGCCTTCAATGACCTGAAGCAGTGGATAGCCAGTCTCCCCTTGTTGGCCTACCCAGATTTCTCGAGACCGTTTCAGCTCATGACCGACGCCAGCGATGTAGCGATAGGGGCTGTGGTGGAGCAGGACGGAAGGCCTTTAGCCTTCTTCAGCCAGTCCCTGACCCCTACCCAGAAAGTCTGGCCGGTGTATGAGCGGGAAGCCTATGCTATCTTCAAGGCATTGGAACGGTTCAGACCGTTGCTCTGGGGTTACCATTTGGAGTTGGTCGTCTTTTCGGATCACAAGCCTCTGGAATGGATACAGACGGCTACGACGGCGAAAGTGCAACGCTGGCTCATTAGTATGTCCCAGTTTAAGTTTAAGGTATTTTACAAGAAGGGTAAGCACAACGTCGTAGCTGATGCCTTGTCCCGGATTACTACATCCGACGACAAAGTGGCAGAGCCAGATCTTGGAGCACTCCAGCGTGAGCTGCAAGGTACACCTGCCCTGGTGACAGATAAGTTGTTGACTGACGACAGGGAGGCCGACGTGATGGAGAAGGACAATTTTGCCCCTGCTTGTGTTCTCACCCTCTGTGAGCAATGGTCAACAGCTGATTTGGTACGTGAGCAAGAGTTGGATCCTGTTCTTCGGGTGGTGAGAGATAGGGTCCGGAGAGGAGAGCCCTTAGCGAAGGATGAGCTCAAGGATCTAGAGTATCGGCCCTATCGGAGAGTTTGGCTAACCTTACGGGTTCATGACTCTGGTCTGTTGGTGCGAAGAGTACAGATAAATGAAGAGGCTACTTCGAGGTATGTTCCAGTAGTCCCCGAAGGTCTCCGACGGCAAGCACTAGATCGGTTTCATGAGGAGGCGGGACACTTTCGACGAGAGCACATGGTGGCAAGGTTGAGACGTACAGCTTACTGGCCAGGTATGAGTAAGGATATTAGTGAGTTCTTGTTGCACTGTGAAGGCTGTGCACCCCATAAGAATGTCTTGCTACCCCACTTGCCCTATGTCCCGTATCCGGTTGGTTCGCCTTGGCATACAGTAGCTATCGATTTCCTTACGGTGGCCCCCAGCAGAAGCGGTGTATCCAAACTATTGGTAGTGGTGGACCACTTCACGAGGTGGGCCGAAGCTGTCCCCGTGGCAGGTGAGAGCGCTGCGGAGGCACTGAAGGCCCTACTGTATCTCTTTTCGATCCATGGTCCCCCGGTTAGGATACTCTCAGACCAGGGAAGTGCGTTCGAGGCGCAGCTGTTCAAGGACGTATTGGCTCAGCTAGGTATAGCTAAGTCTCGTACTTCGGTCTATCATCCCAATGCAAATGGTCATGTGGAGAGGTTTAACAGCACCATTCTCAATTTATTGAGGACTCATGTGACGAGGGTGGATACCTGGCAGGATCACTTACGGTCAGTGTTGTGGGCCTACAACACTACACCTCATAGTGTGACTGGGTATGCCCCGTTTTTCCTAATGTATGGGCGGGAGCCGCCTACGTTATTTTTCCCAGCTTTGGAACCATATGTTGATTACGTGTTTGATCCACAAGGTTATCAGCGCCATTTGTCTCGTATTCGGGCTTGTATCGAGGACAACGTCGACGAGTGGGTTACTGCTCATGGTGCTGGGTTCCAAGCGCTGAAAGAGAGGGAGAAGATTGCTGCTGCACGTCGACATTTTGTGGGACAACGTGTAAGGCTGAGGATACACCATCCTAACAATTTGCCAGGTCGGAAGTTATTACCGAAATGGCAGTTGAATTGGTATATTGCTAAGTTCGTCCCGGGAACACACTTGAAGACGGTGGTCCTTCGACACTACCCCTCCAAGGAAGAGAAGGTTATCTCTACTGACTATATAGTTCCCGATCCGGTACAGCCTGCCGATGTCCCGGTAGAGCTTGGCATTGTTAGGTTGGATCCTCCTGTAGAAGAGGGGCCGCGTATAGAGCAGTTTCCATTTCGTGATGAGTTGGTTCGCTCGGCTGCTTCTAGACGGTCTGCTAGATCTTCGGTTGTCCCGGACGTCGAAGCTCCTGCTAATCTTCGGTTGGTCGACATTCCCTATGTGTATGATGGTGATGATCTTGACCCTCTAGCAGAAAGACGAGATGATCTGCTTCCGAGACTGGAGGCGCCATCGTCTGGTTCTGCACAGGTCAGTGTGCCGAGACTGGAAACCCCTATTCCAGTTCCTGTACAATTAGGGTCTGCCGTTCTCCGGTCTCCGGCCACGAGTGGGCCGGTCCCCCAGGATACTGGTAGGTCTGGTCCTACTGTGGTACCTGCTGGTTCGGAGCCCTCTGGTGGTTCTCCCTCGTTGGGACTGGATTCTGCTTCGCAGGAATGTGGTGCCTCTAGAAGGTCACTGCCTTTCTCGGCTTCCACTCCCACCCATGTAGTGTCGGCCCCTGCAGCCGACTTCGAGCAGTTGTTAGGTCATTCTGGGCCTTCCTCAAGGCAAACGTTAAGTGCCCCTTCTGCGTTGATCCCAGCTCAGCGTCAGCAACTGCTCTCTGTTTCGCCAACCTTGGTCGACTCTGGCGAGACATCGTCTTCAAGTCTGGGTTCTGGATTGGTCTCGGACGCCCCGGTCTCTACAGACCCCTCTAGGAATACGTCTCAGCTAGTTTCGTCGAGCTCGATTACAACATCTTCTGGTACCGATGAGACGTTACCGTTGACTCGAGGTCCAGATCCAGCACCTGCCCCTGAGGTACAAGTAGAGGAAGCGACTGTTGAGTCCTCTACTGATCTCGTAATTCCTGACGAGATCCCTACTACCCCTGCTTTGGAAACCTCCCCGGCCGCGACAGACACTCCGGTAGTCTCTGCTCGTAGTGGTGGTTCGACTTCGTCTGTTCGCACTTACGCTGATGTGCTGGCTTCTAGTCCAGAGCAGGTAGAAGATTCTGTAGCGCCTCGTCGCAGCATGCGTACTCCGAGGCCACCCACGCGTTTCTCCCCCGAGCGTTATACGTCCCGTGGTGGTTACGCTGAGTAGGATTCTCACCTACTTCACTATCTTTGCTGACTCCTGTTTTGTTCGGCTGATGTCATCGAGTATGACCGCCGTTTGCTGGTTTCTATTATGGTCTGGCTCTGCCCCCTTGACCGGTCTTAAAATGAGGTCCCTTATGGCCAACATTTTAGAGGGGAGGAGAGCTGGGGCTATCATATTTTGGTTTCCCGAGATTGGATTATGTTATATTGATTCCTGTTATCTCTATTCTTTGGTCGGTATTATTGCTATGGTCGTGGTGGCCGTGGAGGAAGTATGTGGGTTATGACTGTTATTGTGCAACGGATTTGGCTGTGTACACGTGCAGCTGTTCACGGCATGTGTACGCGCGCACAGGATGTATGAAATTGGCGCATCCGACTGGGTGGGGCTCGAATTCGATGCTTGCAGGGACGCCTGCATGGCTGGATTCTGTGTCCCTGATCCCGGGAGGAATGGGTTTGAGATTCGGGCGGTTGCTGATGTTCCTGGAAGGCCTTCCATCTTGAGGCACCCACCGTTTCTCTTGTTTTTGGAGGAGTCGCGCCACACTGGTTTACGTTGAAACGGCTATGGGAATCTTACTGGTGAGCACACTGGTGGTTCGGTTACCTATGAGTATGGCTCGTAAGTGCTTACCGCTGGTCTGATTTCCCCAATGTATAGTATCGTTTATAGTCGTTTGTTCTGCCTTTGGTATGTTGCACGACCCGAGGATATCGATCCATGTTCCGACTTTGCTCGAGTCGGGGGACGACGAAGAGTTCT